AGAAATTCCTATTGTCTTAAGCCACCAGGTTTGTGGTACTTGTCACAACATCTACAGGAAACGCATACAGTGACTTGGTCCCTGAGAAGGCCCTGGTCTAGGGGCAGGGCACAGAGCCCTGTGTGGTCACAGTGGAGCCAGAGTGAGGACCCTCAGCCTGAGGAAACCTGGGAGAAGAGTAAGGAAGGCTTTTTGGAAGATGGGGCATTGAATCTGGGGTTTGAGAGATAAATAGGAGTTCACCAGCACAGGCAAGCAAAGTTTCCTTCCAGCCAAACTTGCCCAGGCCTGTCTGAACCCAGCTCTGGCTGCAGCTGAAACACCATTGCCCAACGGCTTGTAGTAACAGTGGTTCTTTGTTCTAAAATCTTGGGATCACAGCTCTAATCCAGACCCACCTACTCAGCGCCGTCGGTATCAGGGGTTAAACCACCGAGGTTTGGAGAGATTACTCAACAGTCCCCGAGTCTGCCTGGCACCTCCTGGCTGAGCCAGGATTCAAACCCCGGGCTGGCTGTGGAACCCCCAGAGGACACAGGCACGCACTGACCTCGACGGACAGTCACCCTGTCCCATGGACTTGCAGGAGATTTTTTAAATAATGTGCTTTTTTTTGCCTCTTCCAAATTTCGTGCCATGACCGTGTTTGCCTCCGATCACGGGAAACAAACAATAAAAGTGAGTTTCAGTCTTTTCTCGTGTGTTGTGTATGTTTGACAAGGGTGTGGGTAACTGGGAGGGGCAGTGGGGGCACATTCTGGCGGTTTGGGGCTCGGCCAGGGGGAGGGAGCGGCCCGACCCCTGCCCGACCCCGGGCCTGCCAGCTCTGTTTACCTCTGCCCCGCTTGGCCTTCGAGGACTGTGAAAGCTGTCGGCGAGATCACAGGGTCCGGCCGCTGAGCTCACCTCTGGCGGGCTGCCCGGAGCCGCCCCGCTTGCCTCTCGCTTGGCGATGAGGTCGGCGATGAGGTCACTGCCTGAAGATTTTGGGAAGCAGAGCTGGGCCGGCCCGGCCGCCCCACTCCCAAGGTTGGCTAAGCGGAAACCGCCATGGGGGGCAGCCCTGCGCCCAGGGGCTTTCCCTGGTGTCGTGCCCCTTTGGGAAACTCCACGAATAAAATGAACTAGTTGCTGGTGACAGACACCCAGTTGTGAGCCTGCACTGCCGCACCACGCAGCGGAACACTATACAGCAAGACAAAGGGCGGGCCACGCGGTGGACCCCCCACAACGCGGTCGCGCACCAAGGTGGTGCTTTAGGAAGGGCGCTGGGCGGGTGAGAAGATGCAGGGGCCGCTCCGTTTACATCAAATTGGAAAACGGGCAAACGCCCCCATGATGACAGAGATTAGCTTGGCTGTTCTCCAGGGTTGGGGACAGTGATGGAAGGGAGCCCCAGGGGTTCCTAGAGCTATGAGTGTTCTGGAACCTCATCTGCGAAGTAGTCTGAGGGGTGTACCATATGTAAAATGGCTAATTTTTAAATTTGTTTTGTAGAGATGGGATCTTGCCATGTTGCCCAAGCTGGTCTCAAAATCCTGGCCTCAAGTGGATCTTCCTGCCTCGGCCTCCCAAAGCGCTGGGGTTAGAGGCGTGAGCCAGCGCACCTGGCCTGTATCTTTAAAGTTAATTCCCAGATGCATGCACATTCCAAGAGACTCCGTGCCCTGGTTTTGGGGACAATTGTCAGTGCAAGCAAAGTGTTGGGGCCTCCCAGACCTTGGGGGACCCAGCCCAGCCCCAAACTGCTCCTTCTCCCCCAAATCCTTTTCTCCTCCCTGCTTCTTCCGCAAATCCCCCCAGGTCCAGTTGCCCAGAGACCCACAGAAGTGCCTGCCCCTCCAGTGCTCATGGCGCACAAAGAAGGGGGACAGGACTCGTGCTGGGAGACCCAAGCCACTTGCAGGGGTGGGTTCAGGGACCCAGGGGCTTTTGTAGCCCAACACTTCGTCTTGAGGAAATCCCACAGAGAGCCGGTTTTGAACTGGGCTCTCTGCCGGTGGCCAAGCTGTGGCTGGTGGCCGTGCAAACCACACCTGGCTTCCTTCTGGGGCCCCCTACATCGCAGGTTTCTACCTCGCCCTAAATTACTCTCTAGGAAAAACTCTTCCTGCTGAAGGTGACTGTGTTTTCTGTCCCCCATGGAGGGCCCGGCCCCTCCAGCCGCAGCCTGGCTTCTCCCTGACCCCCAGAACTCCGGCCAGTGCCTTTTCTGAAACCCCTATGTCTGGGACCCCCGGGCAGAGAAGGGTCTGCTGGATTCTGCTTGAGGCTGGGCCCTGGGAGACCCCAAACTTGATACCCAGAAAGCAAGTAAAACCTTTGAAACCTGTCGTTCTCTGTGTGTCCTTTCGTGAGGTTGGCCTGTGTACCGTGGTGTCAGTGGGCAGAGGGGACCCCGTACCTCGGAGTTTCCTGTCCTCAGCGGGTGGTCTGGTGCCTGGCTGGTGCCATGTGCTGAGCAGATAATGATGACAGGACGTCTTTACTGTTCTGCCTCACAACCAGGGGCCTTGGTTCTCATGCACAGAGAGGTTGAGGAACTGGCGGATGGTCACACAGCCAGTGGGGGTGGGTGCTGGAATTTGACCCATGACCTGTGCCCACCTGCGGCATGTGTAAAATTCCTGCTCCCTGTCTGTCCTCCTAATAATGCTGATGGCAGGGGTCGTTGCTACCTTTTACAGACAGGGAAACTGAGGCTCCACCAGTTGAAGCCCTTTGTCCCCCATATCACAGCCAGGGCGAAGAGGGGCTGGAATGTGTACCCATGCCGGCATCTCTGAAGCTGAGCTGCTGTCCAGGGTGTTGCTACGCAAACGAGAGCAAAGAATCTTTGCGAGGCTTTTAAATTTGGGGGAAAAAACAGGCTCACGTGTGTAATCGCAGCACTTTGGGTGGCCAAGGCAGGAGGATCGCCTGAGGCCAGGAGTTCAAGACTAGCCTGGGCAGCATAGTGAGACCCCATCTCTACAAAGAAAAGTTGTTTTAAATTAGCCAGGTGTGGTGGTGAGTGCCTGTGGTCCCAGCTACTCGGGAGGCTGAGGCAGGAGGATCCTTTGAGCCCAGGAGTTCGAAGCTTCAGTGAGCTATGACAGTGCCATTGCACTCCAGCCTGGGTGACAGAGTGAGACCCTGTCTCAAAAAAAAAAGAATTGTTCTTAAAAAAAAAATGGGAAAAATAGTCACAGAGAGGAGGAGCACAAGAATCCCACCACCCTAGAAATGTCAGAACAGATGTCCCAGCTGCCAGGGGGACACACACAGGGTCTCCGTCGAAGGGGCACCCCGTACAATCCTGACCCCTCTGGGCCTTGGTGTCTGTTTCTGTAGATGACAATGAACGCTGTCCGCAGCTGGGAGTCCAATGCATGTTGTCCTTTTGTGCCCGTTGTTGATCTAGAAGGGAGGCTGACCCTGACAGTGTCCTGTTCTCCTCACACACCCCCAGGTCGGGCCTTGGTGGCTTTCCCTGACCCGGCCAAAGCCATGTGAGGATGACTCAGAACTCCAACCGGCTGACCTCTCAGGCCTGGGGCTGGGCTCTGCAGGGGCCACGGCAGTGTGGCCACAGCTTCTTTCCAGATCGGTCTGGTGCCCTTCCTGGAGCGCCTCCTACGTGTGCCAGGCTGGGGGTGACATAGGCAGGGCAAGAGGCCCTGCCCCCCAACCAGCCACAGTCAGGACAGAAGTGACAGCCTGGTGAGCGGATGTGTTTACTAAGCACCTACTGTGTGCCCAGAGCACCACATAGGGAGCTGAGGCTGACTCTAGGGGGCTGGAGGCTGGGCTGGGCTCGCACAGCAGGGGTGTGTTCTGGGGTGGGGAGGCCTGGGGATGCCACCACTCCAGCGAGAGCCTTGCGTGACCCCCAGTGAGTCCTTGTGCCTCTTGCCAGTTCACACGCGTCACACCCAGACACATGCCCCTCACCTCGGCCATCTGCCTGGCGCTGCAACCGTCCTCTCCATGGTCAGGACGCTGGAAGCTTGAGCCTGGGGCCAGGAGTCCCGAGCAGTGGAGAAGGCTCGGGATTCCCGGGGGAAAGGGTGATCCTGGGGCACCCCCTGCCCCGCCACTGTCTGGTGGCTGGACCTGACACCAGCCATCCCTGCTTTTGACCCCTAGCTCCCCAATTCCCTGCCATCTTCTCTGTGGGGCCAACCAAGGGGGGATCCATCCCTGCCCCAAAGGAGCCCCCAGTCTGGGTTAGACAGAGCTGGGCACAGAAACTTCCAGTGCTGTGGGGGTCAGCTCTGGGCCACAGGGAAAGATAGGGATTGGGAGCACCCTGCTCCACCTGGAAAAGTAATGTCAGAGAAGGTCTTCTGGCGGAGGGGCTTTTTGAGTAGGGTTTTGAAGCATGAGTAGAGATGGGATGAAGCATGAACCCCTGTTCTCCAGAGGCAAATGAATAACTGCAATAACACCCAGTTCATCCAGCACCTTCTATGTGCCTGGCCCTGTGCTTTAAAACTCATTTGACTACCTCTCCAATGAAAGTCTCGGTCCCTGTTTTCCTGGTGAGGAAACTGGGGCACGGCAGAGAGGAATGAATTGCCCAAGGTTGCCCTTTCTGGCTCTTTCTAGCCCTTTCTCCTCTGCTTTCTTTGTTTTTCACCATCTGCAGCCTTTGACTCCAACCAGAAAAGGAACAGAGGGATTCCCCTGGGGGAAGACGGCCCCTCTTAAGCTCCTATCTGGAATTCATCACATGGTAATAAGTCTTTTTTCTCCAAAAAGACTACCAGGATAGGACAGTGAACCCATTTCATGGGACAGGTCACTGAGGCTCAGAGAGAGGTGCCCTGGCTTCCCTCGGAGTGACCCTCTTAACCCTAAATACACCCAAGCCCCCGCTCAGCCCTGGTCACTGGAGTGTTTACTCTGCACACAGGAGCGGGGCGGGACCGGGAAGGCGGGGGCAGGCAGCGTCCGGGCACTATAAAGGACGGGGCTGCGGCCTCGGTCTGCCAGTCCCGCCTCAGAGCCCAAGCAGCACAGTCATGCCCGGGCCAGGTCCCAGGCCGCTGCGTCCTGCTCAGATGCTGCTCCTGCTGCTCATGGTACTGGTGCTTCCGCGGCCGCCACTCGGGGGCGCCCTGTCCCTGGCCGAGAAGAGCCTCCGAAGCTCCCGGGGCCCCTCGGACGTGCAGTCCGACGCCGCCAGGTTCCAGGAGTTGCGGAAAGGCTACGAGGACCTGCTGGCCAGGCTGCGGGCGAACCACAGCTGGGAAGACTCGAATGCCGACCCCGTCCCTGTCCCTGCTGTCCGGACACTCAACCCAGAGCGTGAGTGGAACCTTAGAGACCCTCCTCTCCCCACCTGTCCCGGGACGTCCCCCATCTAACCAGTGATCCCGTGTCTGAGAGGTCCAAGCCCGCCTCTGAGCCTCAGTTTCCCCATCCGTGAACCGGGCAGGAACATTCTGTCCCCACCTCGGGTCTGATGGGGCAGCCGACAGCCCGGTTGACACCCAGGCAAGGCGGGGCTCAACCAACAGAGGATGGAATAACCCGACCCCAGGTCGCACGTCAGGAAATTGGAGCCTGGGGCCCCCAGGCAGCCTCCTGAATGTGCGCAGCGCCTGGCGACCCCAGGGACCGGTCCTTGCCCTGGGCTGGCCAGGGGATACAGGAGGAAGGATGGGAGGGAGGGGGAAGTTGCACGATGGGCACAGAACCTGCTGGAGCTGGTTCGCGATCTGATGCAATCGCAGGTCACAGCGCCGCTAAAGTCACATGCAACAGGTGCCCTACGGGGGGCGGGGGGAAGGGGGAGTATTTTCCCCATCTCCGCGCCCTCCTCAGAGGAGGCGGGGAATGAGGTCCGGGCACTAGGACCCAGGAGGGGCAGGCAGAGGGAAGCGCTCTTATCCTGCCCTAACCCACCTGTGCTGTGCGATGCCAGGTAAACCTCTAGCCCTCTCGGAGCCCAGCGACTGGGTTGAGGACCCTCAGATCCCAGCCTCTCCGGTCCCCCAGCACTTCTACCAGCCTGGGGGGCGTCTAGGAGTCCTTGAAGCCAAGTCGTCTGGAATGTGGGGGGCCGGATACTCTATTTCTCAGACATAGAAACGAGAGCCAGACAGAAAAGGCAACTAGTGGCCGTGTCCGCAGCCCCGCGCTTAGTAGGCCCTCGGCGCAATGTTCTGGACTGCCGGAGGAGGACTCGGAGCCGGGCTGTGGATCTTAGACTCTCTAAGTACCACATGTGCGTTCACGCCTTCACGTATTCGCGAAGCACCTACCGTGTGCCAGGCACGATGTCGCCCAACATCCCTGCCGAGGTTCTCGGAGGGGAGGCGAAGGACACGCAGTGGATCCGATTTTACGCAGGCGGGAGGGATGAGGAGGAGCCAGCCCCGCTGCGATGCAGGGGGGGTGCTCCCGGTGGCAGAGGCAGCTGTGCAAAGGCCCTGTGGGTGACCGGCTTCCCTCTCCCTGTCCCCACAGTGCAGCTCGGGTCTGACGGCCACCTGCAGCTGAGCGTCTCCCGGGCCGCCCTGACCGAGGGGCTCCCTCCGTCCTCCCGCCTCCACCGAGCCCTGTTCCGGCTGTCCCCAAGGGAACCGAGGTCATGGGACGTGACGCAGCAGCTGCAGCTTCAGCTCAGCCGGTCCGATCCCGAGGCGCCCGAGCTACACCTGCAACTGTCACCGCCCTTGTCGCCGCCAGAGCAGTCGCTGGCTAAGTCGAGGTCAGCTCGGCCCCGGCTGGAGCTGCACCTGCGGGCACGCGCCACCTCGGCACGCCGCAGAGCGCGCGCAAGCACCGGGGACAACTGTCCGCTCGGGCCTGGGCGCTGCTGCCAACTGCACACGGTGAGCGTGTCGCTCGATGACCTGGGCTGGAATGATTGGGTGCTGTCGCCGCGGGAGCCACACGTGACCATGTGCATCGGCGAGTGCCCGAAACAGTTCCGGGTGGCCAACATGCACACGCAGATCAAGGCGCGTCTGCACGGCCGGAAGGCGTCGGTGCCTGCCCCGTGCTGCGTGCCCTCCAGCTACAGCCCCATGGTGGTCATGCAGAAGACCGATACCGGCGTGTCGCTCCAAACCTACGACGACCTCCTGGCCAAGGAGTGCCACTGCGTCTGAGCGACCCTGCTCTGCCACTCCGGGCACCTGCGCAGGGGAAGCGACCTGAGTCGTCCTCGCGTGTAGAATGGGCCCGCGGGTTCTGGGACCCCCGAGTCCTGCCCCGCCACTGCCTGTGCACTCCTGCCCAAACTGCTGTATTTATAAGTCTGTATTTATTATTAATTTATTGGGGTCGATCTGCCTGGGGACAGGAGGGTTGGTCTGAGGGAATGTATCTTTATTTAAAATTTGCAATAAAAAGGAAGCTGTCTGAATCCCCCTCTATGGTGTCCAGGATGGGGCTGGGTGACCTTCGGAAGACCTCTCTCTCACTGGCCTCAGTTTCCCCAGGGGACCTGGTATAGGGGTCAGAGGGAAGGTTCGGGGAATGGGTGGTGAGGGGCGAGGTGTGTCTGGGGACACCAGGCAATCCGAAGGCACTGATGACACCTTGGGCTAAGAGGGCACAGCCTCCGACATCTCTGATCTTCTCGTTCTGTTTTTTTTTTTGTTGTTGTTGTTCTTGGTTGTTTTGTTTTTTTTTTTGTCCTTTGCTTTTAAAATAATGATGTCTCCATTCTTTCATACAAAAAGAGCAGGGAGAAATAAATAAGTTGGGAAGAACGTTTTCATGCACACCATGTCTCCCAGGTTATACACTCTTCCCATTTAGGATCCTGGAATTGCTGAGACATGCCGAGTACACACTCATGCGCGCACACACACACACACCCCAACCTGCCTGTCCACCCCGAGTCTCAGACCAGTTGACAGGGGTGTGGGGAACAGAGGACCTTCTTCCAGCAGGGAGGTAGGTCTGCTGGAAATGTCACCACCCAGAGGCCAACCCGAACAGCTGCAGGTGTCCCTGGGTGGGCAGTGAAGATACAGCAGTAACAAGATGGACAAGAGTCACCTCGCTTGTGGCGCTCAGTCAAGTGAGGGAGAAACACCCTAAGACAGTGGCCGGTGGCAGTGTGATTGTGCCAAGGGTTTAACCCAAGCAGCTTTTTAGTGAACAGAGGCAGAGGTAATTTAGATAGGCAACAGGGCCTCCTCAAGGAGATAATGTTTGAGCTGAGACCTGGAGGAGGAGCAGGACCAGTGACGCAAACTGCGCGTGCAAAGGCCCTGAGGTGGGAATGAACTCAGTGTCCAGCAGCAAAGCTGTTGAAAATGGTCCCCAAGGAGGCCTCAAAATTAAACTGCACACCAGGGACATTCAAAAGCCAGCAGACACATGCCTTTTCACACCTCCAGGCTCTTGCACAAGCTGGTCTCCACCACATACACTTTTTCCTCTCTGTTGCTCAAACTCCTATGCATCCTGCAAAATCCATTGCAGATTCCCCTCTTACATGCAGCCTTGTTCTAACTCCTTCAGTTGTCTCCCTCTGGGGACCCTGCCTGCATCCCTCCCTCCCACCCAGGCTTAATCTCCCAGGACTGGGGATGTCTGTGTCCAGCTCTGTCACCGCCAGATTGGAGGATTGGCAGGAGCTGGGCTGGGACTAGTTACAGGAGACTAACTGGAGCAAACTCTTGAAATACATTAAGGTCTGGCAATGATGAACTCTGCCTGAGGAAGGACCAGGGAAGGCTTCCCAGAGGAGGTGGCATTATACTTGGGCCTTGAAGGACCAGCTAAGTTTCCTGAGAATATTAGAGCAAAAGCAGCCTTAGAGACCAATTCTAATCGCCCGGTTTTAGAAATGGGGTAGCCAGGCCCAGAGAGCCGATGGCAGCGTCAGGGCCGGGATGCATGCCTCCTGACACCCAGGCCAGAGCCGTGTGTCTGCATTAAGTAGCTTTAGAGTGAGAAGACGTGGAACGGAATGGGTGGAAGGAATGGCAAAGGCAGGAAAATGAAGGCTTTAGCAGGGAGGTGGCTTGGTGGGGACGGAGCCCACATTGGAAGGGTAGAAGGATGGGAAAGCCGATGAGATGGGCAGGGTTGCATCACACAGGCCTCAAGCACCAGGCGGAGGCTCTGGGGGCAATAGGGAGCCATGGAGGGTGTGTGAGCAGGGGAGGGGCACAGTCCAACTTATGAGTTATAAAGATCCCCCTGGGGCTGGTGTGGGCCACCCTGGGAGTCAAGCCTGGAGACCGGGCACCTGGGAAGGGGGCCTGAGAGGGTAGAAGGGAGGGATGGGAGATGGGGGGCAATTCTGGCGTCTCAGATGGAGATGTGGGCTTGGGAGCCCAGGAGGAACCCGCTGAGCCTGCACCAGCAGCCTCATCAGCCCCAAAGCATTTATTGAGCACCACCCGCACACCGACAGGAAGATGACGATGGGGTTCACACACTCAGCCTCCCGTCCCCTAGTCAGGGATCTCTCCTCTTCCTCCTCTAGCAGCTGAGGAGCAGAGTGGGAGCAGAGAAGGGGGTTGCAGAGCCTCCCGGGGGCTCAAGGACGGTCCTTCCTGTCCCCATTCCTCAGATAAGGAGACTGAAGCCAGAGAAGAGTTGGTGTGCCCCAAGGCAGGGACAGGGAGGGGGCTGAGCAGACATCAGGATGTCACAGGCTCAGCGCCCAGGAATCACGTACTCCTCTTCATCCAGCGGGGCCCGGCCCAGCGACTGCAGGTTGCAGTAGACAGGCGCGGGGTCCATGTCCACACCCTTGTAGTTCATGTAGAGGTCACTGTCCTCTGAAGGGTGAGCCCTGTGGGCACAGACAGATCAGGGGTGGGTCGGGGAGGGAGGAGGATTCAGGGGACAGGCACATTAGCTGTAAGGAAGCTCAGGGTGGCTGAGGCCACTCGTAATATTTACATACGAAGAAACTGAGGCACAAGGCAGTGTTCTGACTACCCGCCAGGCCCTCCTTTCTCTGAGGAAGTTGGGGAAGACAGTGATTTAGGGAAGAATGTGTGGATTTTAATGCTGAGGTCTGAGGACTTCGAACCCATGATAGGGTTTTTTCCTTCCTTAAAGTTAAGATAGCCGCTCATTTTTACATGAAAATCTAGATTTCAGTTTCCTCTTGAAAAATCAGAAGCTCTGGCCGCCTCAGTCACACGGACACAAGTGGCTGGAGCCAAACAATGTTTGCCCCTTTAGATGGGAAATACTTTCATCGGGTCCCCTGAAGCAACTGACTTTGTGGTCCTGGTATCAAAATATTCTCTGAGCCTCAGTTCCTACATCCATAGCATTGGCCCAAAAGTGAGTAGCCTACCTAGGAATGTCTAGTTATGGTAGGCAAGATCCCCCAGAGAAGAACCTTCCTGCCTCCAGAATATCCTAACTCCACCCCCAGCTCGTCTCATAAAAAAAAAAACCACTTTGGGTAAGCGGCATCTATCAGTCATTCACACTTTAGTATGAATTACTCTGAACACATAAGTAATTGTAAGGACATGGACAGGACTGGGAGTCAGGATTTGTTTTCTGCCTTTTCTGACTGTCTGTCTGGCCTGAAGCAAGTCATTCCCTTGCCTCCTGGAGCCTCCATTTTTGCAACTGGAGACTCTAAACTATAGGGTTGGAAATGACACATTCAGTTCAGTTCTAAACAGAAATGTTTTTGCAGGCCAGGTTCGCAAAGGAGGCTGGTTGACAGGGAGGCAGATGTGATCAGAGCACAAACTGCCTTAGTGAATCAAGCACCTTCAACTCCCTATCACAGACCACTTCTGCTTTTCAGCTATTTGGCATGTGCTTTGCATATTTTCTCCTTTCTCATCCACGGCCATGTGACATGGATTCCGCTGCCCGAACACAGCCGGGGCTTCGTGCCCTTCCTGCTTGGATTCCTCCAGCCCCCTCCAGCCTCCGCTCTCACATCTTGCCTTCCTAAAAACCATCTACGGCAGGTTCCCTCTTCTTTCCCGCCTCCCAGCCTCTGCCCCTGCTGGACTTGCCCTTGAAATTCCCTCCCCTCCCTTGTCCAACCTGGAAAGTCGAACTCATCTATCTAAGCCCAGTGAAATCACCGAGAGGTGTTAAGACTTTGTGGGGGAGAGGGACACAGATGACCTCCTTAGCATCTCATGTGCGTCAGGGGGACAAGGGGTGCTGTCCCCACTTTACGGAGACGAAAATGGAGGTTCAGAGACAGCCCCGGGTCACATGAGATCTGAGCCCACGCTGCTGCCCGCAACCGCGGAGCCCCCAGCCTGCCTCAAGCACTTGCCTCCTGTCTCCCTGTCTTTGGCAGCCAGAAATTGGGTTTCCAGGTCATGAAGGGGAAGCTTGTTCCCTATACAGGAACTCACTTAATTCTTACCCCAACACCCAGAGGCAGGGGTTGTTATTGTCCCCATTTTACAGACGAAGACACTGAGGCTCAGAGATGTGAAGCCACTTGCCTAAGAGTCTCCAGCCTACAGGAGGCAGAGCTGGGATTTGAACTCTGGCCATCTGGGTGCAGAGTCTTGCTATCGACCACTGCAGGCAGGTGTCGGTGGGTCACTCACCCGTGATCATCCCGCTGGTGCTGGGCAGCTAGGTCACCCACGAACATGTTCTCATAGTCAGGCGTGGAGGGGCGGCGGGCGGGGGCTACTCGGGGCTTGAGGCCTTGGTCCCGACTGCTGTACCGAGGCTGCACGCCTGAGCTGGGCCTGGGACCGTCCTGAGCCACCGAGGCTTTGCCCAAGTCCTGGCTTCTGGCTGCTCTGCGTGCACAGAATCTCCAGGCCAGCACTGCGCCAGCGACGGCAAGTCCAAGAAACAGGCATCCGCCGGCCACCACTGCCCCAATGGTTGTGGGGGCCAGACCGGGGGCACAGCTGACCTCCAGGAAGGAGGAGAGGTTGTGCCAGCCGCGGGTGGCTGTGTCCAGGCACAGCATGCGCGGGCGGCCAGAGCAGTTGTCTCGCCAGACCTCATGCCAGGGAGCCAGGACACAACTGCAGTCGGCCTTCAGGTCCACACAGAGCGTGGCCAGCGCCCCGTCCACGCGGTCCAGCCGGTTGTCCGCCACGTTCAGGAACTGCAGTTTCTTCAGGTCGGCGAAGAAGGTCAGCGGCAGCTCCCGCAGGCTGTTCCCAGACAGGTCGAGGAGCAGCAGGCTGCCGGCCCGCAGAGACCGGTTCCGGGGCAGGCTCACGCCCTGGCCACTGAAGTTCAGGCACTCGGCCTCGAACTCCACGGCCCAGTCCACATGCCCCGAGGTCACGTTGCACGAAAGTCCCTGGCCGCCTGCGTCCTGCAGCAGCAGCAGCAGCAGCAGCGGCAGCGGCGGCAGCGACAACGCCCACACCGGGGCGC